ATCATGTAGATGTGTACCTTAATATTGTCAGGGTGCTGACATTTACAATCTGTTACTTAATTGTTTCATGATTTGTTTCTAAGTGAGTTCTAAAAAGTGAAAATCAATAAGTGGTTTTGGTATTATTATAACTGGTTGCTAACCCAGCATCCCACTTCTCCCTTACAGATCCCTGATTTTGTTTGAGATGTCAAGAGGCTTAACTAAATTATTATCTTCCCAGCCTCTTTCTTAGCTTGGGACGGCTATGTTCCACAGTTCTGGCCAATGAGACAAGAACCACAAGCGTCACTTATTTTGGGGGTTTCTGAGCCCTGAATCTGTTGTTTTCTGCAGAGGGCCACAGTTATCTCCTTGGCTGCTGCCTCCTGTGTGCACATTCTAGGTTCTAGCTGTCTCAACTCTCCTTGGTCAATGATCATTCCTCCATCTGCTTTCCATCTTCTAGAAAGTTATTGAAATCCTGGCCAGGCACGGTGGCTCATGCCTGTCATCCCAGCACTTTGGGAGGCCGAGACACGCAGATCACCTGAGGTCGGGAGTTCGTGACCAGCCTAGCCAACATGGTGGAAACCCCCATCTCTACTAAAAATACAGAAATTAGCCAGGCGTAGTGGTACAGCTACTCCAGAGGCCAAGGCAGGAGAATTGTTTGAACCTGGCAGGCAGAGGTTTCAGTGAGCTGAGACCATGCCACTGCACTCCAGCCTGGGTGACGGAGTGAGACTTTCTCAAAAAATAAAAGAAAAGAAAAAGAAAAGAAATCCTTCAACCCTGATGACATTTTATGGGCTTCTATTTTCCTCCTCCTCTTTACTCTCACTTAAGCAGGGTCAAGGTTGAGGCAGGAGAACATCCACACAAGTACTTAAACCCAAGTCACAATTACTTAGGAAAATTCTTTTACTAATTCCTTTTATTAAAGTAATGCAAGCATATAATACATAATTTGAAAGGTATAACTTGATATACAGTGAAAATAATTTTCTTCTCACCCCGTCTTATAACCTCCCAGCTCCTCTCTCTAGAAGCAACCACTGTTTCTTATGCCTCCTCCCAGACATAGTTTATGGATTTTCATTTATTTTATTTTATTTATTTTTTTTTTGAGACAGGGTCTCACTGTCACCCAGGCTGGAGTCCCATGGCGCAATCATAGCTCACTGCAGCCTGGACCTCCTAGGCACAAGCAATCCTCCTGCCTCAGCTTCCCAAGTAGCTAGGACTACAGGTGCATGCCACCATGCCCGGCTATTTTTTTTATATTTTGTAGAGACAGGGTTTTACTATGTCGCTTAGCCATGTCTCGAACTCCTGGACTCAATTGATCCTCCCACCTTACCCTCCCAAAGTGCTGGGATTACAGGTATGAGCCACTGCGCCTGGCTACTTTATGGATTTTTAAGCAAATATGAATATAATCATTCTTTCACCGTTTATGATTAAACTAGTATACCCTTCATCACATTATTATTATTTTTTTGCTTAACAACAAATCTTCAAGATTACCCTCAGAACCTCCTTTGCATGCCTAAGTGGTATATCCCAGGTATCATAAGTCAATTTTTTAAATATAAGCCCATCTTAGACAATTTTGTTAAAACGGCAATGCCATATGACTTGGTGTCATGTGAGTTTTTTTGACGTTCTTGTTGCTAGACAAGGCAGTTTCCCTTTCTCAATACTTCCCTCATTTGAGGTCACCTGATAACAAACACTACTTCAAGCCTCACCATCTTTTTTTTTTTTTTTCTGAGACAGGGTCTTCCTCTGTTGCCCAGGTTGGAGTGTAGTGGTGCCATCATGACTCACTGCAGCCTCCAACTCCTGAGCTCAGGCAGTCCTCCTGCCTCAGCCTCCTGAGTAGCTGGGAACACAGGCATGCACCACCACACTTAGCTAATTGTAAAATCTCTTACAGAGGCAGGAGTTTCACCATGTTGCCCAGGCTGGCCTCAAACTCCTGTGCTTAAGCGATCTTCCCACCTTGGCCTCCCCAAGTGCTAGGATTTCTTATGCTTCCTCCCAGACATAGTTTATGGATTTTCATTTATTTTATTTTATTTTATATTTTTTGAGACAGGGTCTCACTGTCACCCAGGCTGGAGTCCCATGGCACAATCACAGCTCGCTGCAGCCTGGACCTCCTGGGCACAAGCAATCCTCCTGCCTCAGCTTCCCAAGTAGCTAGGACTACAGGTGCATGCCACCACGCCCGGCTATTTGAGCCTGGGCCGAGGTGAGCCACTGCACCTGGCCTAAACCTCACCATCTTTTCAGAGTTTCTACTCAAAATCAGAGTCCCTTAGAAACGATGTAAGCCTCTACTTCAGAATTCCTTGTCTCTCATCCTTGAGTCCTTTTCTAGGCCTTGGGTAGGCCAGTGGACACTGCTCAAGAATACATGTATTCCCATCCAGAGACACTTCTGCTTCCCCACACAGTGAATGGCACACTCCTCACAGCTCTGCCTTTTGGGAAGTTCTTCCCTCCTTACTGTCTTTGAGGGTCACCTCTGGCTGTGGCTGGAATGCAGCTGCCCTCTATTTTCAGCAGGCCCTTACATAAGCCCACTTCAGGTAGCTTTATTATTTTTTATTTAATATCTGGGGTGGGCAGGGAGTATTTTCAGAGGTTTCCAGAGGTTTTCCCCATTGTGATTGCTCTTACCCAGGCCCTGGGCTTCTTTGACATTAACAGATCAGTAAGATGAAGAAAAACCAGCAAAGGAAACTGAGAAGGAGCATTTTAAGGAGAAGAAAGTGATCACCTGTGGTGGTGTAGCAGTAGCCATTCATCCCCATTGATGTGGGGTATCAAGTGTTGATGGACTTTTGGGGTATTTACAGGTTCAGGCTTTTAAGAATAGTGTTGTTCTGGGAAGGGCACACCACTGCTTTCCTGGAATTCCTGCGAAAAAATGCAAAATCCCAATCTTATCTTGAAAAAAACATCAGATAAACCCAAACTGAGAGACAGCTACAACAACATCAGGTGTGTATTCTTCGAAGAAACGCTGGGGAACTTTTCCAAATTAAGGAAGACTAAGGAAATATGAAAAATGCATGATTGGATTCTGGGACCAAAAAGTCCTAGATTGGATTCTGGTCTGGGGAAGAAATATATAGCTATAAAGGACATTCTTGAAATGGTTGGCAAAATTTAAATATGAACTGAGGACCAGATGACAATGTTGTGTTAATGTTTGATTTTCAGTTTTGAAAATGCTCGTTCCTAACATATAGAGACATTTATGAGTAAAGGAGAATGACGTCTTCAGATGACTCTGAATGGTTCAAAAATTAAATTTTATAATATTTTTAAAAGGGGACTGGCTGCTCTTAGAATGGCAGGGTTGTGAGTATCAGAGTCCAGTTCCCCACCCTATAGCTTGCCATTTTTTCTTTTTTGAGATGGAGTCTTGCTCTGTAGCCCAGACTGGAGTGCAGTGGCGTGATCTCGGCTCACTGCAATCTCTGCATCCCAGGTCCCAGTTCAAGTAATTCTCCTACCTCAGCGTCCCAAGTAGCTGGGATTACAGGCACAAGCCACCATGCCCAGCTAATTTTTATATTTTTTAGTAGAGATGGGGTTTCACCATGTTGGCCAGTCTGGTCTTGAACTCCTGACCTCCCAAAGTGCTGGGATTACGGACGTGAGCCACCGAGCCTGGCCTATGGCTTGGCTTTTCACTCAATATGATTTCTTTCCAATATCTTCTTTGAAAAATTTCAAACTTACCAAAAAGATGAAAGAATTTTATAGCAACATCTCCTAGATTCTACAATTAACATGTCACTATGTTTGCTGTATCACATTTCTAACCAAAAACTGACCATCTATCCACCTTTTTTTCTGGTATTTCAAAATAAGTTTCAGATATTAGAGCACTTTGTCCCTGAAAGCTTTAGCATGCATATCGTTGGCTAGAGTTCAATATTTCTTTATGGTTCTTTTCATCCTGTTATTAAATTGTAAGACTTCTTTATATGTTCTGGATACAAATCCTTTGTCAGATATAAATATTATAAATTTTTCTTCTCAGTCTGTGTCATACCTGTCTAGTTTCTTATGTATCTTTTGATGAGAAGGTTTTAGTTTGATCAAGTCAATTGTTGGCTTATCTCAGTGGAGTTTTTTGATGACTAGACTTCTTACTTTTAGTTTTCATTTTATACTTGGGACCTTTTATGACGTATATAAGCACCATTTATTACACAGACCATTTTTCCCCGCTGCACTACAGTGTCACCTGACTATAAATGTGTGGGTTACATTGGTCTTTTGTCTTTCTTCTTATCACAGTGCCTTAAATTACTTTAGATTTATAATAAGAGTTCTTGCTGCCTCATAGAGTAACTTACTTAGCTTTGCTGTCTTTGAGATTAGGGGAAGGAGTCACAGTGGCAATGTGTTATTATGATCACCGTGGTTCAGGGCCCAGTCCTAAGCACCTAATTCTGCAGGTAGAAGTGCTTCTTTGTAGCCTAAGAAATGATCCGTGAGACACTGATGCTAACCTGAATTACCTTTACTGCTGTGTGACTGAGAACATCAGGTTGTTCAAGGAAATAAAGAACAGAAGGGAAAATGCAGAATCTCTTGGAGCCTGAGGAACTGCAGGATTCAGAATCTTTCTAATTTTGTTATATATTATGTAATACCCCAAACAGTATCCAGGGAAGCACCATGTAAATCAAGGCACATTAATATCTCTGCAGCAACCTAGATACACATGTCTGTTTTGTTTCTTTTTAGAGAGACAGGGTCTCCCTCTGTTGCCCTGGGACTACAGGTGCACGCCACCACACTTGGCTAACATCTCTATTAAATTGGAGAAATAAAACTTACAAACAGCTTCATGTCAGTTCAAATGAGAATGAGGCCTAACTTATGAAATAAGTTTTCAAAACCTCTTGAATGTTAGAATTGCAGATTATGGACTGACTGTGGGCCTTGTTCCTGATTTCATACATTGCTCTGTTGTTTTGACTTGACAGGCTGTATCGCATCCATTGAATACTGTGACCGAGGACATGTACACCAACGGGTCTCCTGCCCCAGGTAGCCCTGCCCAGGTCAAGGGGCAGGAGGTACGGAAAGTGCGACTCATACAGTTTGAGAAGGTCACAGAAGAGCCCATGGTAATCACTCATCATATTGTCGCCACCACTTATTCTCTGCCGCATGAGTCCCTGGGCCAGAAGAGTCAATGCAGAAGGCTGCTCATGGAGTTACGGAATTGGCCAACTCCAGTACTGTCTCTTCATTCCCACCTCAAGTCCCTCCTCAAAGCAGGCCTCGTGCCTGTTCTAGTTGAGGACTATCCTGGGTATAAATGGAAAATACTTTTCCTGAGAAATTGCCATAAGTTCTTTCTAAAATAACCTCAGAAAAGGCTTAAAACAAAGCTTATCGTGCCATTACCTTTATTTCAGGGAATCACTCTAAAGCTGAATGAAAAGCAGTCCTGTACGGTGGCCAGAATTCTTCATGGCGGCATGATCCATAGGCAAGGTACTCTGTGGGATCTCTGGCGGGGTGTTATTCAGGGATTAATCATTTACTCCCTGTTCAGTGGTGTGGGGCATGAAGTTTATAATCCTCCAAACTGGTAGCATTTTTGTGAGTATGCCAAGAGACTTTTTGTGGCTCAATAACTGGCTCTGTGGAATCACTACATGATAAGATCTCTGTGTGAATTGCCCAGTGCCACCATCTCTCTCGATCTCTGAGTCTTCTTTCACACCCATTTATACCAATATTTTTCTAGTAAGTTAATATTTGAGCAATTGCCACATGCCACCCATTGCATTAGACTTGGAAAGTACAGCAATACCATTTGGTAGCATTTTGGGGTTTGAGCTAAACGACAGAGCAACACGGAGCTTGCTGGTGACTGAGTACTGAGCTCTTGCTTTGTTATTCTTTGTAGTATCTGTGTCGTAGTCTGGAGTCAGTAGCCACGCTAGTTCCAGGAATTTGAGGACAAGGTGTTTTATTGTGCTGTTGGACTACTGAGGCCAAGGAGGATGAGACCATCTTGAGCCGTCAAGTGCTTGCCTTGATGCAGCAGCCCCTGGGGGATTCAAAAGGGCATTCCCATCTCTCATGGTGGAATGTTTCCAATCCTGAGAATTTTACACAAACTGTTTTATAACATGCTCTAAATCCTGGTTTCTCTTCTATAGTATCTTAAGTTACATTGACAGCTCCTGTTTGAAAACTTTTATTCTTTTGTGGATTGATTTTTCATTTCATGGCAGGCTCCCTTCACGTGGGGGATGAGATCCTAGAAATCAATGGCACAAATGTAACTAATCATTCAGTGGATCAGCTGCAGAAGGCTATGGTGGGTATTTTCTATGCTAGATGAAGAGCTTCCATTGTCTCCATGAGTGTTGATCCGCATTGCTATCATTGACTTCATCTTTCTGTCAAACTATTTGTACCTTATTGAGGGGGCTCTTTTCCCTTCTTGCCTTTATTCTGTGTAAGAATGATAATTTTCTGCCTCTATTTAGTAAAATTCTGAAGCAGAACAAATAACCTGGAGCATCAATCCAATATTCCATGAAGTAATGCTAAATAAAGTAAAGCAAGTTATAATGCATATAGTAGAATCCGATTTTTGTTTAAAAAATGTATATGTATGTATAATGTATATAAATATTTGTAATGCTTTTATTGGTATGGCGAAAGGCATGGATATATATGCGCCACAGTTCATTTTTAGGAACTTCTTGGAGACTTTTTGGAGTCAAGAGTGGGGAGGAAAAGTCTTTTTTTTTTTTTTTTGAGAAGGAGTCTTGCTCTGTCACCCAGGCTGGAGTGCAATGATGCAATCTCAGCTCACTGCAACCTCTGCCTCCTGGATTCAAGTGATTGTCCTGCCTCAACCTCCCAATTTAGCTAGGATTACAGGTACCCACCATCACACCTGGCTAATTTTTGTATTTTTAGTAGAGATGTGGTTTCACCCTGACCTCAGGTGATCTGCCCATCTCAGCCCCCAAAAGAGCTGAGATTACAACAGGCGTGAGCCACCACGCTCGGCTCACAAAAGCCTTACTTAGCTTTTCTTTGTTACTCTTTGTATGTCTTCATATTGTTATGCTGGTCTATGGGGCACATGACACTTTTGTATTAAAGGAGGAATTGTCCTACAAAATCTCAAAATGTAAAGATGGTTGTTGGAGAAAAAATCCTGGGACTTTGAGGGGGAAAATGACTTTATGAAACCTCAAATTATTAAACTTAGTTTTCTGTACAATTTTTTGACTTTTTGTTTAATAGAAAGAAACCAAAGGAATGATCTCATTAAAAGTAATTCCCAGCCAGCAAAGCCGTCTTCCTGCACTACAGGTGGGTGGCACCATTTTCTCTGTTGTCATGATGGCAGAAGTTGGCCCATGTTGTCTTGTATTCTTTAAGATTTGATTATAAGGGATGCAAGTCTAACTTTAAGTTCTAAATAGCTCAGGGTTCCATTATAGCCTGCCTGGTATAAATACAGGAGCCTATTCCCCCTTCCTCAAGGGAGAACAGTGAAGACAGTAGCAGAGAATGAATGAGTCTTTGCTGCTAGTGGTCAGATAGGAAGGAAGAGAGTAATCTTATTCTACAGATGGTAAGGAATCAATACAACTCCAAGAGGAAAAGGGGTAAAGAGAATGAAGAGCTCATTCACAGGAGGAAAACTACAAATGAGCATTGAGCATATGAAAAACTATTTTATCTTAACCATCATCAGAGAAATGCAAATTAAAATATGCATGAGACACCAATTTTCACCAAGCAAATTGGCAAATAATTTTTAAAATAGTAACAATAAAGCCCCATGATTGACAGCGGCAAAGTAAAGAAAGAAAGAAAAGATAGACTCTGGTGAGCACTTATTCAGAATTTATTGAGGGTCTACCAGGTACAAAGCACTGTGCTAGAACAGCTCATCAGCCAGTAGAGGACAGGGCCATGGCAAGTGTATAATTTTCTTAAGTCAACTTTTAAATTGAAGTTTTGGCGTATGTGGGCATATATTCAACAAGGGGCATAAATCACAATTATAAAACTGGATGAATTTTCACAAACTGAATACACCCATGCAACCAGCAACCAGATCCAGAGACAGAACCCCCATGCATGTCTCCTGAAGGCCCACAATAACCCTGACTTCTAATGGCAGGGATGAGTTTTGCCCCTTTTTGAAATGTATTAACATTGAATTATACAGTATGAATTCTTTGGTGTCTCATTTTATTCACTCAGGATTATGTTTATGGGAATCATCTATATTGCTTCATTCTCATTCATTCATTGTATGAGCATGCTACAATTTATTCTGTCAGCTTTTTTGGTCTTACATAGTGCTGCCATTAACCAAACAGGAACTAGTTGAGCAATAGGAGAAGATTTACTGCCTGAAGACCAATAAATTCACCACATTAATAGAAAAATGGAAAAAAATCATATGATTTTTGTTCATGTGTTTGGTGCATACATCTATGCCTTTCTTTTGAGAGTAGAATTGCCCGGTTGTAGGATATGTGCGTCTTCATCTTTAGGTGATATTGCCAAATAGTATTCCAAAGTAGCTGAACCATGTTACATCCCCAACTGCACAGTATGACTGTTCTAGTTGTTCTGTATTCTCACTGATATTTAGCATTGTCTGATTTGTTTTTTGGTTTTTGTGTTTCTGCACTTTGGCCATTCTGATGGTGGCATCACATTGTGATTCTAATTTATGTTTCTCTAATAACATATGAAGGTAAACTACTTTTTATATGTTTTTCCACTTAGATATCTTCTTTTGTAAGGTACCAATTCAAAGCGTTTCTCACTGATTTGTAGGAGTTCTTCATATATTCTGGATAAGAGTCTTTTGTCTCTTATTATCATATACATCCAAAGTATGTTCTCTTCTTCTGTGGCTTATTTTCTTCATGGATCCTGTTAATGAATAGAAACTCTTAATTGTAATGAAATCCAATCTACCACTTTTTCTCTGATTAGCACTTTTTATGTCTTTTTAAAATTTTTTGCTTACCACAAGGTCAAGAAGATATTCTCCTGTGTTTTCCTGTAAGTGCTTACTTGTTTGATTTTTCATATTTGGATCCACAACCCATCTGGGATTGATAGTTGTGTATATTGTAAGGCAAGAGGTCAGGACTTTAGTTTTTCCATATGGATACCAATTGAACCAGTATCATTTACTGTACACTATCACTTTTGTCATGAGTAATATTTACAGGTCTGTTTTGGAACTCTTAATTCTTTTCCATTGGACTGTTTTTTTATTCCTATGTCAAACATACATATCAATTTGGATAAAAGAGGCGTCTTCACAATATCCCAATGGAAGTGATGATAGCAGACATCTTTGTTGTTTTTCCATTTTAAAGGGAAAGCTGACTGGGTGTGGTGGCTCGCCTATAATCTCAGCACTTTGGGAGGCCGAGGTGGGTGGATCGCTTGAGCCCAGGAGTTTGAGACCAACCTGGGTAACATAGCAAGACCTGTCTCAGCTAAAAAAAGGGGGAAGGCTTAATCTTTCACTGAGAAGTATAACATTGGCTGTAGGGTTTTTGTAGGTATTCTTTCTCACAGTAAAGAAGCTCCCTTCTGTCCCAGTTTGCTAAGAATTTTAATCTTGAATGGGTTTTGAATGTTATCACATGCTTTTTCTGCATCTATTGAGGGGATCATATGATCTTTCTCCACTTTTATGTTAATGTGGTGAATTTATTGCCCTTCAGATAGTAAACCTTCTTATATTGCTGAACTAGATCCTGTTTCGTTGTGATTTATTATACTTTTTGTACATAACTGAATTTGACTTGCTAATATTTTGTTTAGGATTTTTACATCTCTGTTGCAGAGAGAAATTGTAAGATTCTTGTCAGATTTGGTTATCATGCTTATGTTAGACTATTAAAATCAGTTGGGAAGTGTCATCATTATCTATAATCTGTTTTTGTATGAGATTGGCCTTCTTTCTTCAAATGATGTCTGGAAAATTTGCCAATGAAGTAATCAGGTAGGGGTGGGTGTGTGTTTGGGAGCAGGAGAGGGGAATTTTCAATAATAAATTCAAATTATTTGATAGATATATGAGTGTCCATATTTTCAATTGTGAAAACAGTTGTTCAAGGAAACATACATCTCAGAGACAGATGACTCAGGTCTGGCGGTAACTGTAGAAAGGCATCACATGACTTCTCTCCTTTTTTTTTTTTTTTTTTTTTTTTTTTGAGACAGAGTCTGACTCTGTCACTGAGACTGGAGTGCAGTGGTACAACCTCGACTCAGTGCAACCTCCGTCTCCCAGGTTCAAGTGATTCTCCTGCCTCAGCCTCCTGAGTAGCTGGGACTACAGGTGCACACTACCACGCCTGGCTAGTTTTTGTATTTTTAGTAGAGATAGGGTTTCACCATATCGGCCAGGCCGCTCTCAAACTCCTGACCTCATGTGATCCACCTGCCTCAGCCTCCCAAAGTGCTGGGATTACAGGCATGAGCCACCGTGATCAGCCTTCCATGCCTTCTTGTTAAAGGGATTCGTTCTGACCCCTCTGCAAACACAATCACTTCAGCGTTCCACTTTCTTTCTTGGGTGCTCCCCCACCATTCTTGCCCCCCTGTTGTTCATTCCATCCTGACCCTATTTGTTTACAGCAGGACCTTGTACTTACATGCTCTGATGCTGGTGCTTCTTTCGAAGCTGGAACCTGCAGTTCCTTTTGCCTTCTTTTTAGATGTTCATGAGAGCGCAGTTTGACTATGATCCCAAAAAGGACAATCTGATCCCTTGCAAGGAGGCGGGACTGAAGTTTGCTACTGGAGACATTATCCAGATCATCAACAAGGATGACAGCAATTGGTGGCAGGGACGGGTGGAAGGCTCCTCCAAGGAGTCAGCAGGATTGGTCCCTTCCCCTGAGCTGCAGGAATGGTGAGCCGTTTTTGTGCAGGTGGAAGGGCCGCCTGCCTGCCACAAATAATCACTTAGCTTCAGAAAATCTGTCATCTTGTTCGTAGTTCCTGTTTCTTGACCAGGGAGACTTCCTAGATTCCCTGGCATAATGGGTGGGGGAGGGCTAGCCATGAGTTGATAAGCTGGACTGAGAGGCCACTACAGGCAAGGGAGACTGAATAGCTCTTCATTCCTGTGTGGGCCTCTTGCTTCCTTAAACGTTTTCCCCATAGTTACAAAGCACGACAGTGCTGGGACTAGAGCCCTCGCTGGTCTCCTGTCTCCCAAGCTAGTGTGCTTCTACCACCCATGCTGTTTCTGGGATTTCCTCGGAGTCCTGCAGAAAACAGTCACATTTAAGTATGTGTCCTTTAGGCACATTCCTGGTACATAGAAGAAGTAATTCCTGTCCCCAAGTCAGATTTCTCACTTAGTCCTAGGTTACATCACATGGCCATAGGAATGGTAGAAAAATTCACAGAACAGTTCCAGCTGATAACACATCCAACACTGAGCATCCCTCTGCCTGTGCAAAATAATCCCAGTGTAAAGATTACAACCTTTGTGGGGTTGACATTGAATAGAAATATTAGAATATATTACATGTAGTAATACAAGTTACTGTTTTGTGAAGCATTTGTTTTAGTTGTAGATGTGGGGTGTGTATATGTGTTTTGTTTGTAAACGTATGTGTAATGTGTAATACCGGCTTGCAATGTACAGTGTATTTCTTAGAGTGAGGTAGGGTCATAAAGGTTTGAGACATTTATAGTCTAGACCAAAGAAAGTGAGATGCGCTGAGAGGAGCCAGGTGCCCGACAGAGGGCAGGGCACAGTGCACGATGCACCATCGGTGTATGGGGCACTTTGCAGACATTATCTGCCACTGTAACAGACACTCAGAGAGTGAAGGGGGTGCTATTGGAGAATGAGTGGCTGGGGGGTATGAGAGAGAGTGGGGAGGAAAGGGGGCTTTTGCGCCAAGGATACGGTGACACCTTGATTGTTGTTTTCCTACCAGGCGAGTGGCAAGTGTGGCTCAGTCAGCTCCTAGCGAAGCCCCAAGCTGCAGTCCCTTTGGGAAGAAGAAGAAGTACAAAGACAAATATCTGGCCAAGCACAGCTCGAGTAAGCTTTCTGAGCCTTCTTGCTCCAGGTTCCTGGCAGCATTCGTGTATTTCCCAGTCTCTGCAGCCAGCAGAGAAGGAGAGGTGGTGCAGTGTACAGGTGCTGCAGTCAGGCAGTGGATGTAAAGGAGGGCTAGTGGTCTGCCCACACCTGCTCATCACCCCACCCCTCACACAGAAGTAGATGTAGCCAGAGCATCTGTACTAGGAGAGGGGAAGTGGGGTAAGAACACAGGCCAGAGGGAGAGGCCAGGGCCAGGTCATAGGGAGCTTCGTGCACCCTCCCTAGTGTTTTAGATTTTGTATGATAGATAGTCTGGAGCTAGTGAAGGGTTTTGAGCAGAGAATTCACATGGTCACCTTTCCATCTGCATTTCTCTTTCTGAGATGTCTCTTGCACACCACCAGCCAGGGAATAATCGTGGCGGTCTCAGGGGCTGTGGGCAGGGGAGGGGGTGGAGAGTCAGGATGACACCAGGTTTCCATCTTGAGCAGCTGGGTTAAGAGCAGCACCGTCCTCTAAGATAAGGGACATCCAGGAGGAACAGAAATAGCATTGGCATTCTTCAGTTCTAAGTGCCAAGGGAACAACTGTTACTGAAACTATGGAGAAGAGATGAGGACAGGAGACAATAAAGATTGGCTGAGAGAGATAGAGGAATGAGGAAGAGAGGGTCTAAAAGTTAGATAAACTCCCTTGCTCAAAATTCCCTCACCACACTAAAAATACAGTCCCAAGTCCTTCCTCCACACCAACCTCCCTGGCCTCATCTCCAGTCACTTCCTGCCTGCTTGTTAAGATGCTACCAGGGTGTGGACCACTGTTCTCCCCAGCTCTGGACATGAACACTGCTTGGTTTTGTTTGTCTCTAGTTTTTGACCAGTTGGATGTTGTTTCCTATGAGGAAGTCGTTCGGCTCCCTGCATTCAAGAGGAAGACCCTGGTGCTGATCGGTATCTTCTTATTGCCTCATTTGCACATTTCTGTCTTTGTTTTCCTCCTGTATCATGTGCTCACCCCCAAAAAAGGCAGCGAGGAAGAAAAGAAGTGAAGTATCTTGGGTTCCCCACATAGAGTAGGTGTGAGGAATTCTCTGAATTTTCACGTGCACTTCATCTGGGTCCACCTCACAAGTAAAACTAGACCTTACAAGTTTCTCTACTATTTAGCAACCAATTCTTTCGGGTTAGGTTTTGTGCTGCTAGATCCCAAACTAGGTTTTGCTCCTTGTTCATCTGTCTGCTGGCAGTGATACGCTTTTTAAAGCAAATATGTTGCAGCTTCACTGGCACTTTGTTAGTATTCTGAGCTGTCAGTCACCCATATAAGCCCTGGAAGCTACCTTCCCCCAAGCAGTGACTCTGACCTGAAACAGAATGAGTCCTTGCTTCAAACCCAGATATGTGGGCCTTGCCTCAGGCGGGTTGCTCACTTTCCTGTCTTAAGGGTTGAATTTTAGTTGGTTAGAGAATCTGTATTAAGGTTCTGGTAAAATTTCTAGTAAAAACACTAGCTTAAATTCAGTTCCACTTTCAAGAAATTTTAGAAAATAAACAGAAAACCTCATATGTTAGCTGGCTCCTCTGCAAAAGTGACAGTTAGTTACATTCTGAGTCTCAACCCTTAGTCCTCAAAAACAGCCTTCTTCCCCAAATGGAAAGAAAAGACCTGAAGCCCCTTGGTGGCCCCAAATCTCACAGCTTAAAGGCCCTGACCCCCGCCCAGATGCAATCCCAACTCATGTTCACCTGTTGGTGATTTCCCATCCCTGCTCCTCTCCCCACCTCTGTCTCTGGGGAAAAGAGATGGAAGATATTCTTCTCTCTCTACACAGGAGCCAGTGGCGTAGGTCGCAGCCACATTAAGAATGCCCTGATCAGCCAGAATCCAGAGAAGTTTGTGTACCCTGCCCCATGTAAGTAGCTCTTGGGCACCTTGGAGGGAAGGTAACAACAGGCTGAAGGACAGGGCATCAGTAGCACATGTCAACACAGTACCACTTTCCATCTGAAATACCCTAGTGTTATTTTGTTATTTTTATTTAAGTGTTTGATTAAAACTAAACAAAATATGGGAAGATGAAACTTTGTGCCCACAATTGCTCCACCTAACAAAACAACTTTTCTTATTGTTATTTTCTGTGCTGCTTGTCTATATAACAGAAGCTATAGTAAACATTTTTATACTGCCCAAAAAATTACAAAGTATTAAAGTCTGTGCATATAACTTTGTCATTTTACTTTTTAAACATTTTCTCATGCTCCTCTGCGATGTGCCTAATTCTCTTTGAGAACAGGTTTATAGCGCACCAAGTAGATGTACTTAGTGGATTTCCTGAGCTATCCAACTCTTGATGTTCAGTCTACCTCTAATTTTCATGGAATGTCTTCTAAATCAAAGCAGTGCCTAGGAAAGGCCCAAACTAACTGTCTCAACGCAGTTCTAGATATGGAGAAGAGTAGCCCAGTGATCAGGTGGAGAATTCAGTAACTCTTCCATTCCCAGAAGTGACAGTGCATGGTATAGTTGTATATGTTCCCAGAAAGAAATACAGTCATTCCTCACTTTGTCAATAGGCTCTTGGAAGTCTATGACTTAAAGTGAAATGACATATAACAAAAACCAGTTTTTTTACTCATCAACAATACAATGCAATGAAGTTGAACTAAAAACCATGTTATTCAAGGACCAGCTGTACATGATTTCACTTAAAGCCACAGTTTCCAAGAACCTACTGATAATATGAATAATGTTAAGTGTGGAATTACTGTTCTGCTAAGCAAAATAGAAAACCAGATTCTAAACATCATATTCGTATTTTTTTATTCTTTCTTCATTTTGCTTTGTTACACATGGATCATTGAGTTGCCTCCTTGCCAGGAGGAACATAGAGTCATTTCAGGGTCACGTTAAGAGCAGAAAGCAGATGGCCCCAGGAGTGAATGGTGAAGTAGAAATAACCAGTACAGGCTCCTCCTTCAAGAGAATCGCATATGGTTGTAGATTGAGGGGAAGGGGCCAGTTGAGAGATAATTGTGATCCAGAAGGCAAAGGAGGCAGTCAATGGAAGATGGAAAGAGGGGAGGTTTCAAGCTACAATATCTGGAGCATATTTTACTGATTAGACAATTTATATGAGTAACAGAAAACATGACTTTGGGCCAGGCGCGGCGGCTCATGCCTGTAATCCCAGCACTTTGGGAGGCCGAGGTGGGTGGATCACGAGGTCAAGAGATCGAGACCATCCTGGCCAACATGGTGAAACCTCATCTCTACTAAAAATACAAAAATTAGCTGGGCATGGTGGTACACGCCTGTAGTCCACGCTACTCAGGAGGCTGAGGCAGGAGATTCACTTGAACCCAGGAGGCAGAGATTGCAGTGAGTTGAGATGATGCCACTGCACTCCAGCCTGGTCACAGAGCAAGACTCCGTCTCAAAAAAAAAAAAAAAGACTTTTAAGAACAGTCCAACTTTTAACAACATGAGCTGAAACTAAACCAAAGTACTCTTCTTTCCGAGTCATGAAAAGGAAACCTTAAATACATTTCCAAGAAATTCTGACCATAGCCTATAGATCTGTTTTTAAAATATTTTCAGCTATCTTCATTTCTGAGTTTCAATATTCCTGAATTCGGTGGTTTGAGAGATATTACTTCATTTAGGGAAAATTAAATGTTTCCCGGGCAGATGGGGGGATTTCCTGGTCTGCATCACTTTTTAGCATCAGCTCTTCAGGAGCCCATGGGAGGAACCCCTCTATTAAACTCAATGCACCAAAGGCAGCTAGGGTTTCAACACAGACACCATGGTCCAAGCCCTCATGAAAGGGTGAGAACCTGGAGTTTGTCACAGATTTGGGTTCTTGTATAGATACAACACGGCCACCAAGGAAGAGTGAGGAAGATGGGAAGGAGTACCACTTCATCTCAACAGAGGAGATGACAAGGGACATCTCTGCCAACGAGTTCTTGGAGTTTGGCAGCTACCAGGGCAACATGTTTGGCACCAAATTTGAAACAGTGCACCAGATTCATAAGCAGGACAAGATTGCCATCCTTGACATCGAGCCACAGGTGGGTAGGCATGGAAGGGCAGGGACGGATGGGCTCAGCCACACAAGGGATGGGGAAGAGGGTGCTGAAAAAAGCAGTGCTCCTTGGGAATCTTCTTGGGGCTCAAGATTTCTGCAGCACTTTTAATGGAGTCATCCCGGAACAAGTACAGTAGTGCTGGGAATGATGGAAAATAGTATTGGGGTAAAGCTCAAAGCTGCTTATTGGAAGGAATCCATAATGGATTTTTTTTTCACGTTCTTTTTCTTCCTTCCTCCCCTTGTTTTCTAGACCCTGAAGACTGTTCGGACAGCAGAACTTTCACCTTTCATTGTGTTCATTGCACCTACTGACCAGGGCACTCAGGTGAGGAGAGGGTTGTGGGGGGTGGGTGAGAGTTCACTTTCTCTAGGGCCAAGAAGCGAAAGGGCATCACATTCATTTGAGTTCTGAAACCACTAGCTATGCCAGTGCCCATGCTAGGTAATGGGGACAAACAAACCAGATCCAGTCATTGTCCTGGAGGCACACAGTTCCAGTGGCACAGATGGACAGTTGAGCAAATCCTCATACAGCATATCACCTGTGAGTTTCTCTTTGCCTGTAGCATGTTGTCAAAATTTTCATTTTTTACCAATCTACTGGAGGGAAAACTGGCATCTTCACTCTTTTACTAAAAGAGATGATTGGGTACTTTTTCAGAAAAGGCCATTAGTATTGCCTTTTCTGAGAATTATCTGGTCATGTCCTTAGCTCATTTTTCTGCTGAGTTATTGGCCTTTGATTTCTAGGTAGCATATATTAGGGTAAGTAGCTTTTTGTGGTATCATTGTAATATCAGCTGCAATTATTTTTTTTTCCAATTTGGCATGTCTTTTTGCTATGCAGACATTTTTACTTTTATGTAGTTAAATGATTCATCTTTCATGGCCGCTTGGTTTTACGTCAAAGAAAGAGGCCTAAGACAAATACACACATTTTAAAAATTTGTTTTTTGTAGAAATGGGGTCTCACTGTGTTGCCCAGGCTGGTCTTGAACTCCTGGGCTCAAGCAATCATCCTGCCTCGGCCTTCCAAAGTGCTGGGATTCCAGGTGTGATCTTTTATCTGACTGGGTGCAGTGGCTCATCCATCATCCCAGCACTTTGGGAGGCTGAGGCGGGTAGATCACCTGAGGTCTGATGTTTGAGACCAGCCTGGTCAACATGGAAAAATCCCGTCTCTACTAAAAAAAATACAAAAATTAGCCAGGTATGGTGGCAGGCCCCTGTGATCCCAGCTAATATGGAGGCTGAGGCACAAGAATTGCTTGAACCTGGGAGGTGGAGGTTGTAGTGAGCCGAGATTGCACCACTGCACTCCAGCCTGGGCCACAGAGCAAGACTGTCTCAAAAACAAACAAAATCACCTTTGTTTTGGCATTGCAGCTCTGGTGGTTGTTGAAATGGCTCTTCCATGTTCAAAGGGCATTAAGTGAGAGATGCCGGTGAAGTCCATGCTATGTCTACATAGCTGTTCATCCTCCAGAGAGCTCTGATTAATCAGTCAGGGTTAGCCTGAGACCCTCTGAGAATTGCCATGGTCTTTTGAGATTGCCTCTTCATGCCCTACATTAACATTATATCACAATGTCTTCCGAGTTTGAGTCAAGTATGATGCACAGCTGAGCAACGCTAACAATTGCTGTTTAAAATCTGTCACTAGCCTCTCTGGGCTGGGGGTGGTGCAGCTTGCTTCATCTGTGGCTTTCTTCTTTGTAGACAGAAGCCCTGCAGCAGCTGCAGAAGGATTCTGAGGCCATCCGCAGCCAGTACGCTCACTACTTTGACCTCTCATTGGTCAATAATGGTGTTGATGAAACCCTTAAGAAATTACAAGAAGCCTTCGACCAAGCGTGTAGTTCTCCGCAGTGGGTGCCTGTTTCCTGGGTTTACTAAGCTTGCAGAATGGGGGAACCCACCGTATGCCTCTCTCCAGCATTTGGAACGTCACCCTTCTTGCTTTAAGACAAACAGGGCTGCTTCACCTAGTTTAGTGTCAGCTTCCAACTCTCTGCAGCTATCCTAATTAAGCCAGTAGGATTCAATTTTCTTGCTCAGGCTCTTGAAGGGCTGGGATTTGATTTTCCTGATAGATGGGGCTCCACTGATCTGGATTTCAAAAGGATCTCCAGAAATTGAGGGTAAGAAGTACTAACAAAAAGTAACTGCTCAAAGATGATGCACAGCAAAAGCAATGGACCCCCATCCCTCTAAAGCCTGCCCTCCTTCACCTTCAACTGTATATGCTGGGTATTTCGTCTTTTTATTTTGGAGAAAGTGTTTATAACTGCAACTTTCTATAATGCCAAAATGACACATCTGTGCAATAGAATGATGTCTGTTCAAGGGAAATCTTCAATAGCAATAAAAATGCTGTGTTAAAATGCCAATGACCTTGTAACTCTGGGTTTCCACACAAAAACAAATGTGACCCACTTCACTTAAGCTCCTGGACAACGCCATTAACAGAAGATGCCACTCTTGTGTTCAGATGGGATTCAGACGACAAACACCAGTGTCCTGGAAGAATCCCCATTCCTTGTGCCCATGCAGAAAAACACCCTAAGGTGGTTGTATCTGGGGGCGAGCCCATCGTGGACACATATTTACAAGGAGAAAAACCAAGTCTGGGGTCCAGTGGTACAGTAGAGGCTGGGCTAAGCCAGGGCTGGGGTTCACTCTGCACACCTGGCTCATGATATGGGCCTTTCCTTGCTGCATCCAAGGACTCCTCCACAAAGACTTTTTTTTTTTTTTTTTTTTTTGACAGAGCCTCACTCTTTCACCCAGGCTACAGTACAATGGCAGGATCTTGGCTCACAGCATCCTCCACCTCCCAGGTTCAAGTGATTATCCTGCCTCAGCCTCCCGAGTAGCTGGGATTACAAGCACATGCCATCACACCTGCCTAATTTTTGTATTTTTAGTAGAGACAGGTTTTGCCATGTTGGCCAGGCTGGTCTCGAACTCCCGACCTCAGGTGGTCTGCCTGCTTCAGCCTCCCAAAGTGCTGAGATTACAGGCATGAGCCACAGCGCCCAGCCTCTCTCTCGGTTTCTAATACCAAATTGAAAGAAATCGTAGAGCTTTCTCCCACTAATCTATGTTACTGAGGCCTTCAGATTCCTGAGTGTCCCCACCCTCGACTTCCTTCTCCCCACTCACCCTGCCATCAGCACCAGAAGTGACAGCTTCAGTGGGCTCCTACCACTTAGCCCAAGTCCAGATGTGTCTTGCAGATATATACGCCCTCCCCACCCTACCCTGGACACACTCACTGGCACCCTCCTGCCAGGACCACTATGTATAAATATATCAACCAGCTGGGAGCAGTGGCTCACAACCTGTAATCCCAACACTCTGGGAGGCTGAGGAAGGAAGATCACCTGAGGTCGGGAGTTTGAGACCAGCCTGGTCAACATAGAAAAACCCCATCTCTGGTTAAAAAAAAAAAAAAAAAAAATAGAAAATTAGCCAGGTATGGTAGGGCATGCCTGTAATGCCAGCTATTCAGGAGGCTGAGGCAGGAGAATTGCTTGAACCTGGGAGGCAGAGGCTGCCATAAGCCGAAATCACACCATTGCACTCCAGCCTGGGCAACAAAAGCAAAAGTCTGTTTCAAAATAAATAAATACATCAACCCTTTCCTTCCCTGTTCCAAAGAGATCACTGGTTTGTGGTAATCACTGCCGCTGAGTACTTGATCTCACATCAGTTGATAGGGCCCAAGGTAAACTGTGTGTAAGGTATAGAAAAAAAATGTAGAACCAAGCAAACATAAAGGAAAAGCATCACATTTCAAATAGGACATAAAGGTCTCTAGATTTTTAATCAAAATATTTTACATTTTTTGCTCTGCTAACATGAGATCACCAACAATAAGAAAACCCAACAGGAATACATAAAAACTTAACAAGTTGACTTTAATGAGTAAAAATTACAACGTTCTTCTCCCAGCAATGAACAGTTTCATTCTTTAAAAGTAAACGAGGCCTACAAGAGGGCACAGGAACAAGTAGTCAGATGGATTTAGGTGAGCACTGTACACAAGCTTTGAGGAAGTGCAAAAGGACTGACCTCTAGGCCAGAACAAGATGGAAAACTACCAGGCCTGCCAGACCTACACCCAGACACCAGGATGGACAAAACTCAGTTATACTGAATTCAGAGACAAAATTCAGCGACACTCTTTCACTTATTTAGGGTTCTACACCATTTCACTGAGCAGACTTAGTTTTTGTGGGGTTTTTTTTTTTTTTTTTTTTTTACAAACCTTTTAAACAGAGGGGATAAAAAAAAACGCAAACTAGGACTACAATGTTAAAACAGCCACTAGCAGACAGCTACCGACAGTTACTGGGTCTGAAGGTGAGGCTTCCCAACTCAAATCGAGAGGTCATTGGGATAAACTCTGCCTCTTTTATCTTTCATCACCCATATCCTTAAAACAGGACAAGATGGGATGACCACACCAGGTAACATCACCGACGTCTCAAAGTAGCAGCTAAAATGTGCCAGAAGTCTCCATCCTGTCTAGAACCTATGTTCCACTCTCTCAGCAACAAAAGGATCTATAACGTGTTTTCTCAATAAGGCTTTAGTTTCTTCTCCCAGCTGGACACAATGCTTTAAATGGCCTTCGCTACTCAGAAACCAATTCTACCTCTTTTGCTTTCTTCTTCTTCTTCTTTTTTTTGGGAGTATCACTGTCCTAGAGAGAGAGAGAAACAAAGCTCATAGATAGCAACCACTAACAAAACTATGACTCTCCCAGAAGGAAATCTAGTAAGGGTCCACACAGTCAAGCAAGGCTATTTCAGGATCTGTAAGAATATTCTGGGTTAAATACTGCACCTGACACAAAGTTCTGTGGTCTACTTTTGGAAGTAGAAACATTCAGACCAAGCTATACATCCACTCCACCCACCATCAATAGAGTTCTAACTATAAGCAGTGGCGGCCGGGTGCCTCCATCTGTCCTTTCCACAGGGAGGGCAAGGGAACTCTAGGAACATGGGCAAGCACTAAAGGCACTTGGTAGCACCCCACCCCCTGGGACACAGCTCCTTCAAGAGAGTAACCAAGCTGGTACAACCTGGGTAATTCTTTCCCCATGCAGAGACTAAGCCAGCCCAAAGAACCTGAACGTGTTTACACACACCCCATCTCCAGGCTCGGCCCCACTCTCCAGACCAGCTTTGGCCTTCTTGTCCTTCTTACTCTTCTTCTTTTCCTTCTTGATCAACTGAGGAACTGTTGGAGGGGTCTCGTCACTTTCACTCTCACTCTCTCGCTTCCGCTGAGATGAAAGCAATTGGTTAATTGTTAGATCTTGGGCAATAATGGACAAGGTTCAAAACATAACAAGGCACCAAGATCCCAAATGAATGTAACAGGACATTGTCTGACTACAAACCCAGATAGGGCCCTAGTTTACTGAGGGTTTGAAGACAGTCTCATCCCCCAAATCCAAGAAGCCTTGGGGCAGGCGTGACAGGAACACCACAGCAGCAGCACGGGGCTTAGGGGCAGAAAGGCCCAGAAGAGCTGTTTCTCTCATGACTGCAAGGATCTCTGAGCGTGCTCCTGTGAGTCCTCATAGAAAGCAGGCAAAGCAGGAATTCACATCTGACAAGTCAGAAGCTCCTCCCACACAGCCTGTGCAGGATACTTAGTACCGCCCCTGGTTTCTGAGTGTAGACCTGTCATTCTGTGCTCTAATGCCAGCAGCTCCATGGGGTGGAGTTGCCACCCCATGCTTAACTGACTCTTTAAACACTGGGTGGTGCTGGGTTAAGATGCCTGCCAGTCTCTGGCAATTCTGCTCTCTGCTGAATTTTGTGTGGCCTCAAGTGTCCATTAGCCATGGCCTCTGATTTCAACATATCTGTCCTACCATTTCACCCAAGGTGGGGGCCAGAATGACACATGCACCACAACCCATTCTATTCCCGTGTTGCTGCCATAGCTGAGGTAGGAGTCAAGGCAGGTCTGATTCCTGAGCCCATATTCCTCCTCCCAGCAGACACGACAGGGAATACAAATCAGAGGAGCCTGCAGAGCCCAAACAAGCCCCCTAGTATGAGGCAGCTTTACCTCAGTCACAGGGCAAGACGAACACCAGTGCCTCTCAGGACTCAACTAAGCACATTCCGACTGATCACAGCACACCACTCACCTTCGCAGTTTTTGCTGCTTCAGCAACTACCTGTGGGGCTTTTACCACTTCAGCAACCACCTCTTTCTTGGCAGACTCACTGAAAGAGGAGAGATAGCAATGGGTCAAATTCACTGAATGGCTTTCCAGGGCAGTACTGATGCTATGCAGTGTTATCTGGCAAGTCTAAAGCCACCATCAAAATACTGACACTGGGCAAAAGAAGAACTCACCACTTACTGTTGCAGACACTCCCTCTAGAGTCCCACCAGCCAGACTAGAAAGGGTTAACTGTCTGCCGTGCAGGCTGAAACGCCTAACTGGCCTAGGCAGCCAACACCTCATGGGACCCGAAGAGTTAGTTCCTGTGGCCCTGCATTTACCAGTTTGCCCCAAACCACACGACTCCCACTCCCTTGGGGCTCTACAAACTCCGTGCTCACCTGTCCCTTGTCTCTTGTCCACGTACTCCTGCGTCCAAATGGCAAGTGGGCTCTGTCTACCCTCCCCGTCCTCACCTGTTGATGACGTACTCCTGCTTCGAGGCAGCAAGTGTGCCGTCTCTACCCTCCCCTGGCTCTAAAACATCCTGCCCTCACCTGTAGTCAACATACTCCTGCTTCCAGGTGGCAGGCGTGCTGTCTGTTGGTTTCCCGTGCTTGTCCAGAAGGCCCTGCTTGATCATCAGCTTCTTCTGACTGGCCTGATGGAACATCAAGGTGCCAACATTAGAATGGTTTCAATGCAGGAAGTGGGCGTGGTGACTGCACATAACAGAACAAGGTTCCTCCCTAGTGTATTCTCAGAAGGACCTCAAACTCCTATCCAGAACATTCAGAATTCACCCACTAACTCCAACAAACACAGGACTTGTTGAAGGTCACAAGGCGTATTAGTAAGAGCCTCTGCAGTGCCATTTGGTGACACACATCCCCACCACAGCCACTGTACTCTTTGGCCTTTGCACATGCTGCATGTTCCCATTGTCCTGAACTCTCCCCTCCCCTCTTCACTTAACTTCATCAACAGCTAACCCACTCTTCACACTGGCTTAACAACAACCCCTTCCCCAGTCTCCTTGACCACTGGACTCTCCAGGTGCCTGACACCTCTTTGCAATCCTTGGTAGCCACCAACATGGATGAAAATTACCATTCCACTGTGTGATTATGTAAGTAATGCCCAACTGTTTCCCCTCATTAGACTAAAATCTCTAAGGTCCAAGACAGGGCC